CTGACCTCCAACAGTGTCAAAACCCAACTCAAAGGGTCTGCCTGATCTGGCAGCACTATGGGGGAATTGTGAGGCTGTGCGCGATGGGTGGCGGCCCTGTAGAAAGCGGTCATTCGCTAGTGGGGGCTGCGGTGCCGACAGATGTGCAGCGGATTGCCATTCAGGGCCAACAGCAGCAGACCAAGCAGCTTGCGGCGTCTTCGATTGGTAACAGTCATTACGCACAGTCTTCTCTCCTGCAGCCGGAGCGTTGTTTGACAGCGGTGGGCGTCCGAGCGTCGACAAAAGTTGACTGGGCAAATGCATGGCGCGCTGCGGTTCCTGAGACACATTTTCAGCCAGAGCGTCTTCGTTTATTACCATCCGTTGTCCCATCGTCTGTTCGGTGGTCGTAGCGTGGGCCGCGGCATTAAACGCAGCAGATATAGCCGCGTGCGCCATGGAGCCAGCACTTTGGTGCTGGTGCGCGTCTCGATCCGGCGTGGACGCGGTGGGCGCTGGCAGCTGCCTTCCTTGCGTAACAGGTTGGTTCCCACGTGTCCACGTTGAATAGGACGACGGCGGCTGCATTTCCAACCGCTGGAGCATTGCATGGGCGGCTGCCTGAGTGGCCTCTCTGGTTGGCACGTCAGTGTTTAAAGCAGCAGCCAGATGTGGTGCGGCAGACTCCTGATCATTCCCTCCTGTGTTCGGCATAAGCGCACCGAGGACTCCTATTAAAACACGTAGCATGTTTTAGGTAACTTCTCGCCATGTCTCGTGCATGGCCTTCACTGTTTGGCTCAAGCTATCGATGGCTTGCCAACACTTATCGTTTGCTTTATTTTTAGTTTTCGGCATTTTGTGTGGCTAGGATCCCTCGCGGTGATCGAACATAACCCCACATCTGACACCAATGTAGCGTAAATCGCCCTTTGGCCGAGCGGTGACCGGCGATTCGCTACGCAAAACAATAGCGGGCAGGTGTATAAAGCAGCAGGGACCGGCAGCGTGGCGGCTGGCGAAGTGGCTTCAGCAACAAATCTGTATAACGGAGGCGCTCGTGGCGCTCGTCGACGCTTGTCAGAGAAGGGCCCACTTTCAAAGAATTAACAGCAGCGCCAAAGAAATAATTGCGCCGTTCAACTCAGCTTTCCTTTACTTCACTTTATTAGCCTTCAATGGCGATCAAAACAGGCAGATGGCCCAAATACTTAAAGATTTAATTTACACATATGGAGATGCTTAAAAGATCCGCATCAGTGGAGAACACAACCGTGTCGGTCCAGCGCACACCAGGAAGAGAGACAACTCCTTAAAGTTAGTTGCGGTTGAAGCCTTGAAATTGGCTGCGGCAGCATGGATCTTGTAACAAACAGCTGTTGATAGGTGGCGCATGGGGGCGTATCGATAAGCGCAAATCGATACTTGAGCGCCAAGCTCGCAGTTTGAACTATGCACTACCAATTTGCATTACAATATGTTCAGAGTATTTCAAAGTCGGGACACCCGACTTCAGCTTTTTAAAGCCTGTACTCAAAGGGTGAAAGGCTATACTAGTTTTATGCGCATGTATGTAACAAACAGAAGCAGGCATGGCAGACTCCACAAAGTATATATATTCTTGATCAAGGTGACAAGCCAAGTCGATATAGCCATGTCCGTCCGTCCGTCTGTATGAGCGCAAGGATCTCAGAAGGTACAAGAAGTAGAATAACCAAACTCGGTATCCAGATTCCCATAAGCCCTAGGCAGGTCAAGTTTATTTTTTTATTCTGATACACCCGGGATACGGGGGAGTGGGCCCCGCAATTCGTGTTTTTGATCATAAATTCCGAAGTTCTTGGAATTTTGAAATCAATTTTGGTAGTTCCATCCAGTTATTGCTTAAGTATCCGTGTGCCAAGTTTTATCATGATAGGTCATTCCTGAAGAAAGTTATAGCCATAAATAATATCGCTGCCCATGGGCTGCCGGCAGCGCTGCCCGCAGCTGTTGTTATTGTTGCTGCTTTGGTTCAACTTTGTGCTACATACATAAACGCATATAAACTGCCTTATGGAAATGTATGCTGTTAAAACTGAACATAAACATGTCTTCTATGTATCTATTAAATACATTTTCTTTATTAATTTAATTAATTAATTCAATTTATTTTAATAATTTAATTTTTAAAAAAAAGTCGATATAGCCATGTCCGCCTGTCCGTAGGTCTCTCTGTATGAACGCAAGGATCTCAGGAAGTATAAAAGCTAGAATAACCAAACTTGGTATCGAGGTTCTCCTAAGTCCTAAGCAGGTCAAGTTTATTTTTTTATTCTGATACACCCCCCCCCCCCCCCCCCCCACTTCTCCTCAATTCGTGTTTTTTTTATAACTTCTAAAATTCTTGGAATTTTGAAATCAATTTTGGTAGTTCCATCCAGTTATTGCTTATGTGTCCGTGTGCCAAGTTTGATCATGATAGGTCAATTCTGAAGAAAGTTATAGCCATAAATAATATCGCTGCCCATGCTCTGCCCACAGCGCTGCCCGAAGCTGTTGTTATTGCTGCTGCTTTGGTTCAACTTTATGCTGCATACATATACGCATATAAACACGCATAGACACGACGATGTAAATGTATTATGTTAAAACTGTAGATAAGCGTGTCTTCTATGTATGTATTAAATAAATTTTCTTTATAGGCAGATCGAGTTTGTGTTTTTTTCTCATACACCCCACCACTGGAATTTTGAACTCAAATTTGGCATATACATCCAGTTTGTGGTTATTTGTCCGTATGCCAAGTGTCATCATGATAGGTCAATTATGAAGAAAGTTATAGCCATAAATAAAATCGCTGCCCATGCTCTGCTTGCAGTGCTGCCCGCGGCTGTTGTTGTTGTTGCTGCTTTGGTTCAACTTTGTGATGAATACATTCACGCATATAAACACGCATGGACACGATGATGTAAATGTATTATGTTAAAACTGTAGATAAGCGTGTCTTCTATGTATGTATTAAATAAATTTTCTTTATAGGCAGATCGAGTTTGTGTTTTTTTTCTCATACACCCCACCACTGGAATTTTGAACTCAAATTTGGCATATACATCCAGTTTGTGCTTATTTGTCCGTATGCCAAGTGTCATCATGATAGGTCAATTATGAAGAAAGTTATAGCCATAAATAAAATCGCTGCCCATGCTCTGCTTGCAGTGCTGCCCGCGGCTGTTGTTGTTGTTGCTGCTTTGGTTCAACTTTGTGATGAATACATTCACGCATATAAACACGCATGGACACGATGATGTAAATGTATGCTGTTGAAACTGTACAGGAACATGTCTCCACTATCGTATATAAGTATTGAATAATTTGTATTTAATTTTATTAAATAATTTAATTAGTATAATTTTAAAATTAATTAAAAAAATTTTTTTTCGTTCTTACCGTTTTGGTGGGAGGTACAGGGTATTTAAGAGTTGAGCTCGCTCGACTTTAGCATTGCTTTCTTGTTTTTTATTTAACTTAGTACCTTACAGAATTTAAACACTATTAGTCAGCCAAATGTTATCGTCGACAGTCAACTGTTGCTGACAGCTGGCTTGGTGGGAAAGTTTGAAATCTTTTGAAGTTCTGTGGCACCGACGGATTTTTTGGAGATTTCAAAAATAACTGTAGGTTAAACCTCCGGAGAACGCACCACTAAATTACCTTTGCTAATAAGGTTTATGTTACTTTCGAAATGTGGATAGCATTGCTGAAATTCTGTAGTGTTAAGTGGGGAGGGAAACTCAAAAAATAAGAATAAAAATGGAATAAGCTCGTGTAGCTTAGGGACTTGGAACGTCTACATACATATATGTACATATAGCTAGTTTGGTTAATGTGCTCAACCGTTTCCAGACGGACATCCTCAGATCGATTTCTCTCGTCCAGTAAAGGTCAAAAAGTTTCACTCGTGTGAAAAATATGATTTAAAAAAAATACAGAAACATAAGCAAATTGGATAACGCTTTTAAGGGTATAATTATTTACATTATTTATTGGCCGCCTTATAGAGATAAATATAACAAGAGAGAATGCTACATTCGAGGAAGCCCGACAGTGAAATGCCCTGTACCCAGACAAACTTTCGTCACTGACTTATATGCGCCCATAGCAGAAGCAAAAAGAGGAAGAAGAAGAGCGAACTTGTTGCTGCAATTTGGGGGGTTGTACTGGAGAGAATTTGATAATAATAATAGATAATAACTTTTCTTAGAAATGACCGCATTGGATAACATTAAACTAAAGTAGAAAACTGCACATAGATTGCGTGTACAAAGTTTGGTTTATGTAAGGAAGGGGGAAAAATACCAAAAATTAAAATAAACTCGTTCTTTCTCGGACCTAGGAGAATCTGGATGCCAACTTTGGTTATTCTAGCTTTTATAGTTTCTGAGATCCTTGCGTTCATCCAGACAGACAGACAGACGGACGGACATGTCTAGCTCGATTTCTCTCGTCATGCTGATTCAAAATATATGTACTTTGTGGGGTCGGAGAAGCTTCCTTCTGCATGTTACATACTTTGCACAAACCTAATATACCCTTTTTACCCTACAGGTACAGGGTATAAAAACAAGTGGATAAGCTAAAGTCGGGTGTCCCGGCTTTGAAATACTCTGTACATATGTGTAAAATAAATATACAAATTAAAAAAATTAAAGAAATTAAAAAAAGTTCGATCGATTTTACCTATTCGAACTCACGTAAAGGGTGTATAATTGAACATTTACATAGGAATTGTGTCTATGTGAATGTATGCAAAGAAAGCATATATTTTCTGAATATATTTTGCTTATATTTTGCGGCTCTGCCACGCGCCATTTTGTATTTTACATATATTCACACTGAGCTCTAATGCACTCTGTTATTCTTTGGGTGCAGGGTATAACAAATATAATCGATTTAGCCGATAGTAAAAAAACCAAAAATTCGATTGGTGGTGGCATGTGTCAAATGTAACATTTCAAGAACAAAATAAAAGAGCGATTACTAAAAATTCACATTAATTATACATATCTCTACTGCGAGGTCGAGGTAATTGACGACATGTTCTAAATCTGCAGACGTCCCCTTATTGCGCCATATATGTACATACATAAGTGCATCGTGATATGATATCTGAAACAGTTTGCTGAGCTCAACATATTTACATACGTATTTATTTCTTGATGTTAGCACTTTTACCTGACAAGCAGTTGTACCCGTCACTTAACGATGTTCGCATTGACAAAAGTTCCAGCAATTGTGTTCTACATCTGGTTCATAATAAACCTCACTACCATCAAATGTTGGCTGCTCCATCAAGCTGGACTAAATGGTTCAAGATACAATGTGCGCCATTTATCGACACACTTCTCGCGCGTGTTTCTTTGTTTAAGTATTGAGCAAAAAAACTTCCCTACACTAATTGAAGCACGATGGCCGGTGTCCTACTTACCTATGCGAACTGTTGTCTTTCCCAATAGGGAAATGCATGCGAATGGTGTGCACTCTGATTGCAAACGTATGCACCAGGCGCTCTGGTCTCAAGTGGACAGTCTAAGTCGCCTATGGGTCATGGATGCAGGTGACGTTTCTAATGCGTCTTGTGCGCCAAAGTTGTTGGTTTTCGATCTTATACGCGAAAATGCAGACGTTTTGCGTATTGATTGTGGACAGTACATTAGCACCAACGAAACGCAGTCTTTAGTTATTAAAATGGGTCCAAAGCCAAACTCATGTGAGCTTGAGCGTCACATATATTTTATACTCGGTAACGACCCTTACATTTTATCCTACGATATTTTTAATCAAACATGGTATCGGCATCAATTATTAAGCGCTAAATATGATACCGTGATGCAACCATTTCCAATAACCCCGGTCGATTTTACTTTTGGTCCACAAGACGAACTGTATGTTTCAGATAAGGATGGCGTGCTGTTTAGTTCGGTTAGTGCATTGAAAACGGAAGGAACGCAAGTTTTAAAAACAATACGTTTGACACGCATAGGTAATTTCTTAGGTCCCAGCCGGAGTATGATAATGGACTTGGGATCTTTGTTTTATATAGTTCCAAAATTTGGTGCCGTCGTGCGTTGCGAACAAGGAAATCTCTTTAATTTGTCTACTGAGGGTAACGAAATTATCTATTTGACATCAAAGAATATTCAGCAGATATTTTTTGGTGCAGAAGGCCTGGTCTGGGTGCTAAGTGACCGAGTGTTGAAACCAACGGACATATGTTATCCCTAGTTATTGTAAAGAAAAAATTTGTAAATATACATTTTCCCCATTAAAGTAAATTTTATACGTTGTCAAAGAAAATGTGAATAATAAAATAATATTCTATTCGTACTAGCAGGTTTCGTCCGTTCTTGCCGGGTTAGGTATGTAATTTTTTGCACAACTAGAGGAGACAAGGGCGTACGCACATCTTTAGAAAACTTTTTTCGTAATCTGAAGTGGTTTGTGCAAAGTATGGGGCATATGATCAATGAAACAAGAAAAGAATGCTAAAGTCGAGCAAGCTCAACTCTTAAATACCCTGTACCTCCCACCAAAAAGGAAAAAATGAAAAACAAATTTTTAATAATTAAAAAAAAATAATATCAATTTAATTATTTAATTAAATTAAAGACATGTTCATGTACAGTTTCAACAGCATACATTTACATCAGAGATGTACACGCAGACATCTCTGCTTGTTTATATGCGTGTATGTATGCAGCACAAAGTTGAACCCAATGAGCAACAACGGCAGCGCTGCAAGCAGAGCGTTGGCAGCGATGTTATTTATGGCTATAACTTCCTTCAACATTGAGCTATCATGATGAAACATGGCATACGGACACATAATCCCTAGCTGGATGTAATTACCAAATTTGAATTCGAAATTCCAAGAACTACGGGAGTTACGTAAATCACTAATAGCGGGGGAGTGGGGGGGTATATCGGAATAAAAAAACAAACTTGACCTGCCTAGGTCTTGGGGGAACCTGGATACCAAGTTTGGTAATTCTAGCTCTTGTACCTTCTGAGATCCTTGCGCTCATACAGACGGACAGACGGACATGGCTATATCGACTAGGCTTGTCATGCTCATCAAGAATATATATACTTTGTGGGGTCTGCCACGCCTCCTTCTGCTTGTTACATATATTCGCACAAAACTAGTATACCCTTTCACCCTTTGGGTACAGGGTATAAAAACTTCAACAAATCCAACTCAGTTCCATTCTAAGGCGAAATAGTGCGAACGTGTGGTCGACTTTGTATGGAAACATTTTTTGTAGGGGGGGCAACGGCCCCTTTGCCTACGCCCTTGTATCCATCCTTTATGATATGGAGCATAGTCGAGTTGTAGAATCAAGCAATTGGTTGGAAAGAAGGGTTTTCCCGAAGTAAAAGCATGCTCATTTATAATTCCAATAAAGCGTATTGATTTAAAATGATTTAAAAGTAATATCCATAGCTTTTAAGTGGGTGTTCTGCTTTATTCTTCTGGTGTTGTCGTAGATCCATATAGTTTTTACCAAATGAAACCTGGACCTGAAATGCGGACTCATCTGTCCATAATACATTGTTCCAAAGCAATTGGAAGACGTTTTGTTTCACTAACTATTTTCCAATTAATGTTTCAGATGATTCTACAACTTTGACGACCTATTGTACGCTTTTTTATGAATGTTTGGAATATTTGCTGCATTCAATTTGGTTGAGGGCAGGATTTCGCCCAGTTCTTTTTAAATTTAAAAAATTTCCGAGCACGTCAATTTTTAACTAAATTATGCACCCTTTACATGAAATCGGTATAGCCTGATGCCGAATTGCCACTCTTAAATTTGGTTACAATCTCACATCGAACTTCAAATTTCATAGTTTTCACAATTTTTCTAAGTAATTAACGATAGCAATTACACAATCCAAGAAAAAACGCAAATTTTTAATTGTAAATTTTCTTTTGTCGCAAATAAAATGTGTGTAAATACTTTTGACAACTTATACTTGTAGGCATCACTTCTTTTGCTTATATTTTTGTCATCATCGTCATCGTTATCTTTTTGATTGTTCTTCCATTTTATTATGCAAAGATCAAAATATGTGGCAAAAGCTTTTTTTTTCGGAACAAACTTCCAACGACATCAACAAAATGGTTGGATAATTGAATATATAAACATGAAAGGAATGGTTTACCTGAGCCCTAGGCAGGTCGTTTGTTTTTTTTTATTCTGTTACACCACCCCACTCCCCCGCAATTTGTGTTTTCATAACTCCCGTAATTTTTGGATTCAAATCTGGCAAATACCTCCAGTTTGTATATATCCGTATGCCAAGTCATCGTGATAGAAAATTAATTTAATTTTTTTCGTTTTTTCCTTTTTGGTGGCAGGTGTAGGGTATTTAAGAGCAGGCTCAACTGCTCGACTTTCATTCCTTTCTTGTTTAAATTTAATGAAACATTTTTGTTTTTCATGTTTTCCTTTTTGGTGTGAGGTATAGGGTATTTACGAGTTGAGCTGGCACGACATAAGCATTCATTTCTTGTTTGACATTTGCCACGTGCGAAAATTTCTAAAAGTTTAAAGTTGTGGCATTTTGCATAGTAAATATCTTTAAATTATATTTATAATGGAAAATGAAGAGCAAGGTATGTTTAATACAAATCCGAAGTAAGAACTGTTTAATATGTGTTATTTGTTGTTTATGTGTCTTGTGTTGTTACCCCGATTTATGTTAAAAAGTAAACCCGAGTCTCGTGAATTATGGAGTAGATCTAGGACCCTTCCAATCCGCGCCAAAAAGTAAATATGCCTCGTTAGGAATAAAAATATGCAGTTTTAGAAGATAATAATAATATTTGCACATTTTTGCGCGTTTTCCGGAATATTTAATGTATTGCAGCTACTTTTGTCTACAGCAGTTTACAGTTGCTTGAAGCCTGATTGGATTTTCGGTCAACTCGATTTGGTTGATATTGTCCCAAATACGAGAACCGCAATTAATCAAAAAGCCAATAATTTTCACAATTATATTTGCCAAAATGTTGTCGACATGTTTCCAATTTTAAAATTAAACATTTACTATGGCTTTTAATGACACTTGTTTCTTCTCCTGCTTGGAATACGATAGGCGTGGTACCTTCAAGATGTTTGGTTTGGGAGCACAAAGCTATTTTTTGCTGGATTTGGTTTGAAGACTTTTCTAAATGGGCGGCAAATAGATTTGCCTTCTCTGCGTTGTTGCGAGCCCACTTTTCTCTTTGTGTACGTAATAGTGATTCACTCTCGATTGGTGGATATAAGCCTGATTTAGCTTTCCACAATGGGAATAGTTTGCTATTTGGGGAGAGTTGCTCCATATAGTCCATTTGAGCTCGGTGTTTCTCATCTTCTAGGGCTTTGCGCAGGAGATGGTTGCCCATTTTTAACCGCTCCTTGAGTCAGGTGACCTGTGCACTTGCCACTCCCGCCGAAGTCTTCTCTTATTTCGTTGCAGCAATATGCCTGGGAACACGACTGCTTTTGTAAGGTTTATAAGCTGTGATTTCTGGAGTGGAATGTTTTGCAGCCAGTGACATTACAGACACTAATGCTTCAACTGCGGTATCTATGTCATCTTTGCAGTTAATGTTTGAGCAGCCATCAATATGGGAACTTACGTACTTCCTGTAATTAAACCAGTCCGTTTTTCTAGAAGTTAAAAAGTGTGAGCGCTCTGAGTACTGTGGGTGGTCATAAAGGTGAAGAAGGATTGGCGAGTGATCCGACGATAGATCTGTTAAATGCTCCACACAAATCTGAGCCTGTGGCACTCTTCTTGAAACAGCACAATCAATCAAGTCTGGTTGCTTCTTTGGATCTGTGCTATGTCTATGTCTGTCCGTATGAACACCTGGATCTCACAGACTATAAGAGCTAGAGACACCAAATTTTGCACAAAGATGCCTTATGTGTGTATTCTATACGAGTTTGTTTTATTTTTTTTGATTTTCCCCCCACTTCACTGTTCCCGATTTTCCATTCGTATAATCGCCTATATCTCGGAGACTATAAGACCTAGGAACACAAAATTTTAGTCCAAGATGCCTTATGTGAATACGCAGAAAATGTGTATTTTGGAATTTCTCTTCCTCCCCCCACTCCACCACAAATCGCAACTCCCGTAATTCTTGGAATTTCGAAGTCAAATTTAACAAATACCCCCAGTTAGTTATTGTGTCCGTATGCCCATTTTCACTATGAGAGACAGATTTAACAAGAAGTTATAGCCATAAGTTATATATATAAGCTATATATTACATTTTTTGATTGACTTGATTGACTCTCGGTATTCGAAATCACATATATATATACTAGCAGGTATTGCCCGTCTTAACCCGGCTCATTATATTATGTTTCCAATTGTATTTATTTTGTGTGTGCATAACCTACCCATATGTTTTCACCTTATAAGTTACCAGTAGGAAGGCATTTAAGGTATTTAAATGAACATTTTCTTGACAAAAAATTGTTCAGTAGTCCGTTACATTTTTGTTCTTGCCAAACTATTTCGTTAAACGAACATGACCACTATAACTAATATTTTTTAAAGCTCGTTTTCCCCCCTTTGGAGCTAGAATTTTCCAAAAGCCTTTCTTAGTGTGCTCCTACACTATGATGGATACTATGAAAGGATACTTGAGTCCAAATTTCATCTTTTACCGTTTGGACTGTGCATTGATCACCAATTAGTCAGGACAAACTGTTTTATATATAGAGATAACGCAACGTTTTAAGATAGACTATGTGCAAAAAAGGGGAATAATTGTAAGGGTATATACTAATTTTAAATTCACATTTGAGTCTTTTCGTGCCATATTGAGTCAATACGGTCACGCACAAACTCGGAATATGAAACACGGCACTCGTGTCAGTGCCGTGCAGCGATGAGCCACGATCAAAAAGCACTGACAATTCTCATCTCAATTTGCTAGAGTAAAACTTTCGATAGTTGAAGCCACCGATACCATCAAAATATCGAAGTTCGAATGCAATAAGCAGAATATTTAAATAATAAAATCTAATTATTTATTGAGATCAATAAGAACAAATCATATACATACATACATACATCTGCCCGCAATGCGAAGCAGAATATGCGTAGCTCCATTATTCGGTTTCTGCTTTACTATCGCTTACGCAGTCGTTGCTTAGCGACGGTAACTGTAAACTTTTGGCGTTTTGCCTTTGCAATTAACATTAAATGGTCACAACGAAAGAAGATGTGCGAGCCAACAACTTGAAGTTGTTGTTGTTGTTTTGTATGTACATGGTACATACATATACAGGCATACATACATATGCATGTACATATGT